GCACCAAGTATTAAAGGTCCATTGAATTATTAAGGCCCTATTTTATGCTTGGGCTTTTTAGATTGATGTTTTACTAATCACCAATTATTTTGAGCAATGTTAATTAGTCTTTTACAACTTTGTTATGGGCTTGCATAGGTATGAGTTGTCTAGCCTAGTCCACTAAAGACTTGTTTCGAATAGTTATATCCAATTTTTGAATTATTTTAAAAAAAATTAAACTACTTTGTCAAATTTATTTATCAGTTGACTTATTAAATTATGTGTTGAGTGTTGACAAAAATATTAATTGTTCAATTTTAATTATGTTAGTCTCTTTTTGCTAATTTTGCCACATTTTTTCTCTCTTATAATATATTATTCTATTTTCAATGTCTAATAGAAAGGAATAACAAATTCTTATTATGAGTTACTTACATACATTTAATTATTAGTTATTATTAGTAAATAATTTTTTCTCTCACATTTACTATAATTGTTATATTTTCAGTATATACATATATAAGAGAGTATTTACAAAACATAGTCACAAAAAGGACGAGAATATTTAATGTATACCTTATTTGAAAACTTCATTTTTGTAAAAGCAAACACATGTTTTACTATTATAGTCACCAAGTCCGTTCCTAGAAATTTGAGGAAATGAAGCCTTGACGCACTACACTAATTCTTTTTGTCAGAAAATCAATGATAGCAAAAAAAAAAATATATATATATATATATATATATATATATATAAATAAAAAATATGGAGGCACTAGCACTTGTCAATTCTTTTTTATGTAAATTTTATAATTTTGTTATAATCTTCAGTCTTCAATATTTTTTTATAATATGATAATTATAATTTTGTCATAATCTTCATTCTTCAATATTTTTTTATAATATGATAATTATAAATTTAAATGGGGCACTATTTATCATTTAGCCCAGGGCCTCGAATTTTTCAGGACCGGCTCTGATCATCATCATAATGAAAACATTAATTAGAGATCCTAATTATATGAAGTTGTATTAATTCTGTTAATAATAATTAGAAATGGAACACATACAACACACATATTATGATTTATGATACACCTGCTTGCGCGGTCAACAGAATCACAAAAAAAAAAAAAGAGAAACTTATAATTAAAAATAACATATATATGAAAATACAAAAAATGAGCATATCAAATTCAAATAGCCAGCATGAGGCCTGGCAAGGAGCGCTTGGCCACGTCACGTGGGTGGCTCTGCCACAGTGTGGGTCCCGCCGCCGAGCTGACGAGGCAGTTGGGCTTGAAGTCTGCCACTGTGAGCCACGTGTTGAAATACTCCCTAAACTGAGTGATGACGCATTCCTGCTTGTCGACGGTCCACACGTGCACCCAGTACACGTGATCCCCTTCCCACCCTTCCGCTATCACCCGTTCTCCATCTACGGCCACGATGCTCCGCGGCTCGAACTTGAAATCCGACGACGGTGAGGATTCTCCCGTCAGCATCTTCATCATGTGGTGGCAGTTATGTGGACCGTGGAACCACCACTCGAGCTCCCCGCTCACAAGACCGGAAATCGTTCTCCGGCCGCCCCTCGATACGGCGTCGTAAAGGCTGCGGACGGTGGCCGTGTTGGCGGTTGGATTATCCATTGACTTAGTTAATATATATATGAATGTTTCTCTTTCTTTTTTTATGTTTTGTTTTATTTATGAATATATATTTGCATGGTATGAGCTGAGGGGCTATTTATATTGAAATTCTTAAGGGGGTAAAGGGACCCGGCCGGCCATAAAAGATATAATAATAATAATAATAATAATAATAATAATAATAATTGTGAAATGACTGGATATATAAATGTATTAATTCTCGACCGATACATAATATAAGTGGGGCAAATTACGTACATATGTATCAAGTGTTTTATTATTAATTATCAAAAAAAAATAATCTCGTTAATGACATGACATGGATATATGTAGGAATTAGGCGGTGATAATGACCACATTAATTTCAAAATTAATTTTGGCGGTAGCTTTCTACTTCTATATCATGATACCCAATCATTATATCAATAGCATTCCCAATTTAATTTTTCTTGTGTTATATAGTATAAGAAAGTAGTTTTATCTTGACATAATAAAATTAGCGTGCGTGCATTTGTCACAATAAAAAGGGGATTTTATATTTATTATTAATCTACGATAAGATTATAATAAATTAAAAGTTGCTCTTGATCATCCTCCTCATTGTTAGGCAACACACAGACACACACGCACTCATTTTACGAGAGCTAGCTAGTTGTTCATATATCATGACTCGGAATATGTATGTTTTTCCTCGATTTCAATAATAATAATAATAATAATAATAATAATAATAATAATAATAATAATAATAATAAAAGGGCTAGGGCCTGGGCTGGGCTAAACTGGGCTGGGAGCTGGGGGCATTTAAGAGTGACAGTTGGCTCCAACAAAGCTTATTAATTATTAGCTAGTGATCAGTCTCCTCGCTCTGCCACTCGTGCATGCACACAATTGGGACATTCCTCGCTCAAAGCCATCCCCCACAGTACTATTTATCACCATTCATTATTATTATTATTATTATTATTATTATTATTATTATGTCTTGTTTATGAATTTAATTATGCCAGAGTTCATCTCATACTAATGGCATGCAATAGTAGTTTAGACTTTTTTTAGCTACAAATTAATATATAATTGATGGCTTGTGAATTATTATCAATATATATATCATTCTTGATATATATATATACATGATGATGATAAAAAAGAGACTTGCCAAATCAAAGTTGGCACTCCACGTGATACTAAAACCTAACAATAATGGAATGTATACACATGAATTAATATATATTTGTACATCGATCATTTATTCTGCCTACACAGAGTTTTATTCAAATTGTACTTGCTTTAAATATTGATGAAATAACAAGGTGTTATACCACAAATACTCGAACCACTGGACAGCTCCTCTCGAACCGGGTTGCGTCTCCTTGATCGTCGGTACCTGCAAAGCACGCCGG